TAATAGATAATTGTATCTATCACTGGTAAAGAAATATACAGTAATAAAATTATTAACATAATTTTTAAAACATTGCGACACAATCGCAAGACTACATTAAATTATCCAGCTAAAATTATGTACATAAAGTCTCTTGGGCTACTGTATATGTCTTTTTAAATCAAAGTTTAGGCAAGCATTGACATTCTGAATCAGAATATTATCACAAACGATAAATTTGAGTTCAACTAAAAGCTTACAGGAACTTGATAATATTTACAATGTTTCGATCCTTTGCACACGAGCGAAACTTGCGACTTAAAGTCGTCTAAATCAGTCGCAATTTTTTTTTACGTAAGTATGTTTTTCCCCTATTATGTTATGAGTCAAAAGTAATATATGTAGAGATATTTTTTTGCTAGTTCCGCCATGTGCAAAGGGACTCTTAAGTTATAATTATCACATACTAAAAAAACAACTAAGTATGTATTTTATGAGCAAATGTATAATTTATATTAACTACTGTTGGTCATTATTGATTTTTTTGCATCAAAAGCTAAAATGAAATGAAGAAATACAGAAAATTATTCGAATTGGGGTCTGTACGTGAAAATACCTTTTTTATATTACAATCGAAATACTCAAACGCCACTCGATTTAAAATTTCGCTCAATTATAGTTCAGTTATTAAAAATTCTTTGTAAAATGACATAGATGGCGCTCGCGCGATTTTTTATCCACACGATTGATGTTTACCACAAATACCAAACGCAACAAATAAAGTCCCGAACATCGATGTGTAGTAAACGTGTGGATACATCGCAAACTGTTTGCCGAACAGCCTTTGATCTATGTTTATGTTCGGCAATGTTGGACACCGATCCCGAACTGTGGCGAACACACAGGAACAGGCAAACACATACAAACACCCATCTACATGTAGGTGTTTGCTTTTGTTGATTGCCATTGTTTGCCAAGCGTATGGACGGGGTTTTAGTCACATCTTGTTTATATATTTTGTTGATTATTATTATTTTAATATTTGCTGCAATATCGCATTGGGTCTAGCCTGTAAGGATAGTATGTTATCTGTTTATCTTTATATATATAATTCTGTTGTGCGTGTGTATGTCATTGAACTCCTCCTAAACGGTAGGACCGATTTAAATGAATTTTTCCGTATGCGTTGAGGGGCGCCCTGGATGGTTTAGATTCACAAATTAGCCCGGCAGATGACGCTGCAGTCGAGGTTTAGGTTATTTATCCTAAACAGCTGAAATGATTTTGTTTATAGGTTCAAGTGGTGGCTTAAAAAATCGGGATTACGCGTAGGAAGTCGCGGGCAGAGGCTAGTAAATAAATACATCTTTGACACATCCTGGGAAAGGTCATGTCACAGTGCTCTTTTCACCTTACATAGATGGATTTAAAAGTCATTTGAAGGTACTTAGAAGCGCAAATTCGTAACTAAAGAAATTACTATTAATTTTTACGTTCAAAAGTGAGTGGGATGGTGGCAGCACCCGCGCGGGTGATCGAGGGTTAAAATTGAGGAGCTTTTCAGTATTCGGGAATATATGTAGCAACTGGCAACACAGTTTAAGGCCTACCTAATGGTAACCGTACCCTTCCAATATTAGAGGTCGCGAGTGCATTGCAAACTATGTAGAAAACTTTTTAATTTGAATTATTTTCAATCAAAAAGGCTTCACGATTGATAAATTATTTCAATTATGTTAATGAAATGTAAATGTCACATTTTATTCTGTAAAAAGGTAGGTAGACATGGACATATTGTACTGCTTTTTTGTAATAATTCAGGTTTTAATTAAGATTTTTTGAGAAAATCATCACCGTCATTAGATGGTGTACGATTTTGAAATTATGCTGTATCTGACTCAAAACCAACATTTGCTCTATATTTTTTGACCCCAAAAAGAAAAAAAACTTAAGTATTATAAATTATTTTCGTTCAATACTTATTTTTTAATCACAAATTAACAATTTAAGTTATATCTATAGGATTTTAGTACGAAATACGAACTTTTTTTTACTAAAATTATATTTTTTCTGTCCCACTACTAATATTTTTTTCAAACACTTCGTTGTTTTTTTTTACTTTATTTGAAAAAATAATAATTTTGTTACTCATCGAAGGGGTAGACAGAGGCATTAATATTAATTAATATAATATTGTTATGGATGGAATCAACGTTAGACTGAAAATTTTGAAAATCTAAACAATAGATAGTCCAATGAAAAGAAATACTACATCTGATAATCAATATGACTATTAAAAAGTCCCCATTTCGTACTTTAGCTGCAATAGTTACGAAAAAATCACAAAAATTACAAAAAAATGTTTGAAAAACTTGGACGTATTTCGAAAATTAATCAAAAAATCGGCTGAGCATAGTTTTATCTACATTTAGTTCTATCTAAATTAGTCTTATAATTATATTTTCTGTATATTTTGTAGCTAAAGTCCACTGCTAGACTAAGGCGCCGAAGTTTCACTATGTATGATACTAATAAAAAATGTATAATTAGAAATGAAGTTTAAAATAAGTGTTGCCATTCGTAAAAAAAATAAAATTACTGTGAATTACCATGATTCTATGATTTTTATAAAAGTTATTTTGTCATTTAAAAGCTACAATAAATGCATTCGTTATTTGAAACTAAGGTTTAGACGGCCGAAGTTAAGGCAGCGCCTATCTCCAGCAATGGGCCTCAGTTACGTATTTACGTTATGTATAATTTGCATACAGTGTATACTTTGAAAGCGTTCTTTTCTATATATTTATTATATTGTACAGTAAAAGTCGTTGTCATATTTGAAAAAATCGCAAACCCGACAATTTTGTCGCGCGATTTTTGAGCAATCTTTTTAAAAGTAGCTGCCGAATATTCTACGCCGAAAAATACTGTAAGCAGATAAAACTTGCTTTATTAAAACAATCGCAGCGATTTGTCGCATGCTTGCTACCATAGCGAGTCTAGGACAGCTTTCAAAACAGCTCTATTTAATTTAAACTAAGACTAATCGTGCGACTAATTGCAGCGACAAATCGTCGGTTTGTTGGTAGAATTTCAATTATGACAACGACCATATTAATATACTACCTAAGTATGTTTAAAAAATAAAAATATTTGCACGCAATTAGAGTTATAACATAAGAAAATCAAAGAATTTTCGGAAATTACTCTTGTCCAACCCGAAAACGAATCCGGAAATCGGAAATGGTCACCATGTGTTGACTCTACCATTATAATTTTTGAAAATCAATAATTTTCTTAAGTAGTCTCTAAAAACTTTGCATTATACAATAATTAAATTAGATAAGTAACATTTATTTATTTATTAAAAATCGTCATATCATCTGTTTATTCAAATTTATATCATTTTTTTATAATATATACAAATACAATCACGTTGCTTCGTTTCAAAAAAACATTGTTTCGTTCCTTCCTTACTTATATTTTAATATAGCACACGATCAAATTACTATACAGAGTTCCCACTTACAAAATAAAAATAATATTAAAAAAAAATCAACCAAAGCGTACAAAAAACTACTAGAAACAAAAAATCTCGCTACAATTGGCAACATTTTAGCAATTTGACAGTTAAGGCTTCAGTGTTGCCATTGTAATAAATTTAAATTCCTACTAAGCTGCCTGAGGCATAAGAAAACGTAATGTATATAAACATAATTATATACTTTCCTTGATTTTCAATTCTTTTCCTATGTAATAAAGTCCATATTACAGTATTTTGTTTACCACTGGGTATATTTTAAAGAGCCCTTTTTCATCAGCGAAAAAAATTATAGCTGTTAATGGACACCCGGAACAACGGAGGAGTCACAAGTGAGTTGCCGGCCTAACCTTATGGCTAGGATTAAACTGTCTTTAGTGTTATTTTCAATACAAAATTATAGCAGCACAGACCTTCTATACAAATACAAGGATGTAAATTCAATAAAACGAATTTAATTTAACTATAGCAAACTTGATTTCCTACCAAAGTCCCAAATATATTGTAGAAATATTTCTAAGACAAATTTTGATGAGGAAAAAACATAAAGGTCTAAAGAAAAATTGAAAAATCACGTGTTTTTTTAAAGTCGGTTAATAACATAGCAATATTCCATTTTCTTTTAAGATGGGTAAAGTACTAGACATAGTTAGATTGTGTTTATACCTCTGATATTACGAAAAAACCTATTGTCATATACTGGTTTTTTAAATATTTAATTCATTAGGCATTCAATGCTGTAATGTGCACCACAGCCTACCCCTTCGGGGATAGGCATCATGATATTATGTTATGTAATTCAATGAAATCCTTGTCAAAAATTTAGATATTATCAATTCAGTGCCTTTAGCCAAACGCCACTTTAGCGCTTGTCTACAGAGAGAGTAGAAAACTAAATGTATGAGGATGACACTGACAGTGATAAGTGTCAAAATTGACGTCAATCCCATATAATTTCGTTTTCTATTCTACATGTAGACAAGCGCTAAATGGCATTTGGATACAGCTGCAGATTAGTTATTAACCATTTAAACGCTACCTGTGGTTTAGATGACAAACAAAAAGTACTTATAAAATGACGATTCTTTTATCGGATCTAGCCGACAGTGGCTCAGTTTTTATTTGTCGCTTATAACCGACTGTGGCGTTAAAAGGACCATTAGACAAGATGACGATCTAAATACATTTAACCGATTAATTTAGTTCTTTTTCAGTAGTGAAAATAATAATTCAGAAAAAATATCTAGATTTGTATCCCACTACGTTATACTTTGACAATAGGTTAGATGACTAATTTTTATTTGAATGTCCGTCTGGTAGATTATTTAAAAACATTAGACACGTATTTTTTATTTTCTTACGGAAACGAATAGTTTCGAAGATATATTTATTTGAAATATCGCATTACGTCACTTTTGAGTACGATTTATACTCTAAAATGACGTAGCTACCTCCCCCTCCTAAACGTTGATTCGTTTTATCTAAGCATTGTTTTCTTATATGACAAAATAAAAAAATACGTGTCTAACATTTTTTTTATTACCTAACTGACGACGGACTAATCAGATTTGGTGGAATAAAAATGTAGACATTTTTTACTATAGTACGGATTTCAGTAAAGTAACATCTAATTCTATTTTTGACATATATATGGGACTTCAGTAAAAAAACAAAAAATGAACTAAAAAATATTTAAACCCTTTGCAGTGGGAGCCCCGTCTCGCCTCAGCGGTAGGCGGCGTATCACCGCGCTAGAATCGCGAGGGGTATCAGCAGAACTACTAACGCTGGGTACAGTTTCACTGCTAGACTGTTGTACTTGCTACTCTGCTCACACGTACCTGAAAATAGGATGATGATAATAAATTAAAAATGAAACAAAATGGATTCTTAGTCAACCTAAAAAGAAAAAAAAATAGGCTTGTGATGATAGGCAAAAGTGTAAGTAGTTTTTAAAGTAAAAGATATTAATACAATGCCAATCATTTTGATTCCGATGACTTATACAAGAATCCTATTCAATTACTTGAAGTCAAAATCTATCTATACAGATAAATAACATTGGAGTGTCTGTTTGTAATATTAAAAAAAACCGCTTTTAACTATATACATATGAATATACATACGATACATATACAAAAATAACACTTTTTACAATATGCAATATTACACTGTTTGTACTGGCTAATCTCTGGAATGGCTTCACCGATTTTGACGGGACTTTAATTGGCAGATAGGTGATGTATTTTTATTTAGAAAAATTGAAACATAAAAACCTTATGTTCTAAAATTCATATTCTATGCGGACAATATCGTGTTCAGCAGTTATTATAATGTATTATTGTCCAATAAACTATACTAGAAGTTTAAGGCATTTTTTATAACACTTTTTAGACAAGTTCATCTAGATAACGAGTTACATTTTAACAGATTGTCCTATGGTATGGTTAAAATCATAATCTGGGGGCATGGCAGTGCCCCTGCCAAGTCGAGCGCGAAGCAAACACAGCCGTACCATGCTTTACTGGAACCATTTCGCTGCGTTTTCCAAGTGGCAATTTTCCATCGTCAATGGGTAGCGGTTCTGGCGACAGATTGGTGCAATGGTGTCATGGAGCACCTGGTTTTGTACCTTTGTGTACTCTTCAACGGCAAAGTCACACAACATTAAATATAATAATAATGAAATCGCAATAAGGAACCTTAGACTTGGCACGACTTTGTTATATTTCATTACTTTTTAGAGATAAACTAGCAGCTCCATCGAGACTTGGCTAGTTTTTACAGAATATGTATTACTGAACTACTTATTACTATAACCAATTGTCGCACTATTAACGCATCAGTCCTTGAATTTATTTAAAAATATAAAACAGAGGGAACTTACCATTGAGCGTAAGATTGTACGCCTTGTCCCCCGCGAGGCCAGGCAGCACGGCGCGGTCGCACGACCGGGACACTCCCGACAGGGACAGGTACTGGACCGCTGTACCAGACGAGTCTGTAATTTATAAAGAAATTAGACTGACTAGACTGAGTGGTAGCAAAATGCGACTGTCTCAGGTTCGATTCCCGAGTCGGGCAATGTATTACTGGTTTTGTAAAAACCTCAGTAGTAGCACGGAGTCTGAAAATGTGCACGGTATATGGCAATAGGCTCAACTCCTATTACATGGGACTCATAACATAAATAGTGAAAAGTGGGTGTTACATTGTACAGTGACATTAAGTGCCGTAATGTGCACCTTTGCCTACCCCTTCGCGGATAAAAGGCGTGATGTTATGTTAAATTATAATCGTTCGACATCTTCACAAACCTATGTATAAAATTGAATATCTATATCTCTTGGTGACGCCATCACGCGTGAATGGTCGGATTGATTTCATTTTTTTTTGTTGTGTTAGTCATCGTCAAGAGAAGGTTACTATGTCAGCAAAAAAATCCTGAAAATTCTAAAGGAACGGGATAAAACGGTATACTACTACCACTACTATAGAGTACTAGATACAAATCTTCACTACCACGTACGTAGCTAGAATATTGGAAAATAATGACTAGTTTTTCACAAATATCACACCCAAAAAAAATCGTGGTGGCCCGAAGGTTTAAGACGCCCGTTTCTCAATGTATGAAAGTGCTGGTTCCAAACCTACCAACGGCAAGTATCAATGTGACTTTTTCCGAGTTATATGTACTTTCTAAGGTTATTCAGACACCACTGACAAACGGTGAAGGAAAACATCGAGAAGAAACCTGGACTTATAATTTCTTATATAAGTTTGAAATCGCCAACCCGCATTGAGCAAACGTGGTGGTTAATGCTCAAACCTTCTCCGTGTGAGAAGAAGCTTTGCTCAGCAGTGGGCGTTTATAGGCTGTTGATGTATAATTATGTATGTATGAATAAGAACTAGAGATATCTACAAGATGTCCCCGAAGTCGTTGTAGTCATAGCATGTTGAATATATAATTTTATTAAGCACTGGCTTCTGCCCGCGACATCGTAAGCGCAATCCCGTTTTCTCCCGTTCCCATAAGATTTCCAGGATTTTTTTTTTATCATAAGAACCTTCTCCTGACAATAACAAACACAACAAAAAAATCAGCCAAATCGGTCTAGCCGTTCTCAAGTTATGGCGTGACAACGGGAAACGGGTTTCGTTTTTATTTATATAGATATTAAAATAAGCTTAAACTTAGTGGTAGCTTATTAAGTTGTTAAGTACCTAATCTGTCAGAGGACAGCACTTATAAGAAATATTTTGTGTTATCTGTATTTACTTTTTACGTCTACTAGCTTTTACCCGCGGCTTCGCTCACGTCACAAAAGGATAAAAAGTAGCCTATATGACATATACCAATACATACAGCGCCATCTATACCAATACTTTTGTTTTCCCTCGGGAATATCAAATTATTCCGGGATAAAAAGTACCCTATTATTTAATCCAGACTTCTAACTTTACGTCTGCAAAAATTCAAAGCAATCAGTTCAGTAGTTACGACGTGAAAGCGGAACAAACAAACAAACTCACTTTCCGATTTATAATATTAGTAAGGATAGTCTATACTCATTTCTCTTATCTTTGTTATGTAATTAACTGGTGAAGAATAAAGATTTTAGTTTTGTTCAACACAAAATTTCAATTTCATTTAAATATAGGAAGAAACCTATATAAAATGTACATAGTTAAAATAGTATATTGTAGTTGGCATGTACAGTGAAACTTGGTTAAGTGGGACCTGGATAAGTGAGAAACCTCCATAACTGGAACTCATGCTGAGGTCCCAACACTTTGGCACTGAATTACCTCTGTTAGTGGGACGAGGTAAACCTCTATAACTGGGATTTGTTCTTTCGATATATCATCACAGTTACCTCTATAACTGAGACAGTAAGTAAATTTTATATGTATAAACCTCTGTAACTGAGATAACATTGTTTGTTTACTCATTCTTATTCTACCCACAAATTCCACACGTAATTCCAAGTCCACCTCTATTAACTCGTCGAGTACCGGTTTTGTAGACACAATTATAGAACAATAGGTTGCGGTCACCGGTGACCGCTTGGTGTTTGACAGTTTAATGGAACCCTCTGTAAATGAGACAGATATTTATTTATACCTGTATATCTGAGATACTGGGTAAGTGGAAATCCTCTATAATAGTACGAGAGATGACGACCAAAACCATGTCTCATAGCAATACGGCAAAAACCCTATAAAATCATTAGATTGTATGATTCTGAACCCGACTAGGTGTGTAGTAACGGTCGAAAGTGTAGCAACTGCGTGGGAGGCCATTTCTGCTGTGTCAAAAATATCTGAGTATCGAAAAGTTGTCTGATAGAGAACGCTACGCGGAAAATGTCTGATATTGGTATTTTCGAGTTCAGGATAATCGTATCTATCGATTTGATGCGATTTTGGCCGTATTGCTATGAGTCAAAAATTTTAGTCTCTCGTTCTATAAGTGAAACGACATTGCAGGTCCCTTGATGTCTCACTTAACCAGGTTTCGCTGTATTGTAGGATGTGTGCGTACCATTGGCGATGTAGTTGGTGTAGAGGAAGCAGAGCGCGTGCGGCCGGGCCGAGCCCCGCGCCGCGCCCGCCACCACCAGCCCCAGGCTGCCCTCGCGCCAACTGCCGTAGCACGTGTACACTGGGACACATTAGAAAACATTTAATATGTGTTATTAAACATATACTGCCTCGTTTACCGAGTGCGATTACTGAGCAAGGGGTCTCGGGTTCGATTCCCGAGTCGGGCAAAGTATTACTAGGGTTTTTTTTAATTCTCAGTAGTAGCACGGAGTCTGGTAGTGTGCCCGATATATGGCAATAGGCTCACCCCCTATTACATGGGACTCATAACATAAATAGTGAAAAGTGAGTGTTACATTGTACAGTGCAACCACCTTTTTTTTAATTAAACATTGCCCCACTTTAGGATTTCTCCTATATCGTGGGTGATTTTACAAACATACAAGTTCACATACACGTGACACCCAGACCCGAAACAACAATTTATGGATCACACAAAGAGTAGCTCCGTGCGGGAATCGAACCCGCTACAGGTTGCACAGCAGCCGGTTGCCCTGCCACCGTGCCAACTGTGGAGTCATTAATGTTGAAAAAAGAGTAAATATAGAATTGAAAAAAGAGTAAATATAGAAAGTGCATCTTTACATTTTTGTTCGTATTTACATAAGTCTTATATCTTAGTCTCTTATAAATGCATTCTTACATTTTTGTTTGTATTTACTTTTACTATTTGATCTATACATTTTTCTAATCACAACTTTTCACACACATACGCACGCATACACATATGCACACATAGTCTGCAGAATTTATTTTATCTATTTAATCTCATATTTAAATCTATTTTCTTTTCCTTATTGAGGGGCGGTACCGCCGTCCGTGAGTCACTGCAGGGTGCCACCTGAAAATCAGCGTTGGGCAGGAATGCTCAACTATATGCTGAGGTGGAGGCCCTTTTG